GTTCAGCACGATCAATACCAAAATATAAAAGGTGTTGATCAATACCAGTATATGGACTACAGTGCCAATACCAGCTTTGGTAGCTTGGTATCGATACCCAAGCAACAAATGAACAGAGTCAAGTGGCTGATAAAATAAAATGGAAAATGACCCTTTTCTTCTCAAGCATTTTTACTGACTGTCGAACATCTATTATTAAGACAAAGAAGTGCCTAAACACTGTGTCCACTCACTGTCCACTCTATTAGACACTCCTACCTTGTCAGTCCACCTTGTAGATGTAAAGTCAGAGACGATAGCTCATCTGCTGCTGCACAGTTTGTGTTGGTCATCCTCTAGTCCTTCATCAGTGGTCACAGGACGCTGCCCACAGGACGCTGTTGGCTGGATATTTTTGGGTGGTGGACGATTCTCAGTCCAGCAGCGACACTGAGGTGTTTAAAAGCTCCAGCAGCACTGCTGTGTCTGATCCACTCATACCAGCGCAACACACACTAACACACCACCACCACGTCAGTGTTACTGCAGTGCTGAGAATGATCCACCACCCAAATAGTACCTGCTCTGTGAGGGTCCATGGGGGTCCTGACCACTGAAGAACAGGGTAAAAGGGGGCTAACAAAGTATGCAGAGAAACAGATGGACTACAGTCTGTAACTGTAGAACTACAAAGTGCACCTATTTAGTAAGTGGAGCTGATAAAATGGACAATGAGCGTAGAAACAAGGAGGTGGTCATAATGTTATGCCTGACCGGTGTAAGTATAAATTAAAGATAGCTTAAGCTAACAGCTCCACACAAAAACAGATTTACCCACTTGGATTGGAGTCTTTATTCTATAAACTTCAGTGAGCCAAAATGAATCTGCGTGGTTGTGTGTAAGCTAAGGCCTTCTTGCTTATCTAGCGCTAGCTTATAGCAGATGCTGTCAGATGTGGATCAAACAACTAACAACTCCACAAATATACAGATTTACTCACTCAGATTTAAATCTTTACGCTCAAAACTTGCATCAGTGAGGATTCAGTGAGCTGGAATGAACGTTTGCTGTGGTGAAACAGCAAATGAGAGCCAGCACGAGTCTTCCAGCACCTCCTTGGTGCGACCTCTCGGGCTTTGCTTCACGCGTAGCAGCATGGCTGCCGCACCATGCTTTACATTTGCCCCGTGGCGTTGCCATAGGACCTGAAGGCTGAGACAACAGGGGTCAAGCAACATGTCACCCTTAACAAGAGCCAGCTGATGCTGGTTTGGCATCAGCACCTGGCACATCCTCTCGTTAGTGCATTTTAATATATTGCACCATGATGGGTTTAAGCTCATGTGTTTTCTTCAGGCACTGAACTTTGTATTATTAACAAGTATTCTTAACAAAAGTGTTTGTCTTTCAGCATGAAGCCGACCTGCCTGTATCCAGCGTGTGTGTTCAGTGTGGGTGTGTACACCATGTGTGTTAGGAATCTCAGGAGAGTGTGCAGGAGGTGATGCAATGATGTATGAATGAGTCTCCTCTCTTGTGCATACTTGATCCTGAGGATAGATATCCTGCTGTGCTGATAACATAAGGCAAAGTCTGTTTTTGGTTAATGTAGATGTGGTGATGTTTGTACACAGTTATTTTGAGGTCCACCAGCAGCACAAGGCCATGTATGAACACTGAGTACTGACTGAAATGCACACAGGATCCAGTGCAGTGACTGGCATTTAGCTTTTTCCCCCTTAAGGTATGAATGTGATCTGTTAATACTGTGTAACATCATCCTGTTAAAGCAGCGAGAAAACACAGAGGCAGTTTAAACATGGCGTCTTGTGTCGTGCGTGTTATTACTGCTAAGTCTTAACGGCAACTTCAAAGCGAGTCCGCAGACTTTACTTGCTTCATTAAGCTCACTGAGTACTGTAACTTATTAACCAGGCCAGCCAAATCCCTTTTTCCACCTCAGAAAGCAGTATAAATTGGTGTTTTGTATTACCCATGTTATGTAAATGTCTAGACAAAACCAGCTTGTGAAACATTAGAAGGAGATTCTTTTGTTGTGGTTTGTGGATATTAGAAGATCCCTGATCAAATTTGTACTGTTTTTGCTGACGTGAAAGGCGGGTCAAGCTGACAGTCTCACCTTTTTCATTTGCCTAAGAGCTTTCAACTCACTTTTGTTCTGTATCAAAATGTGTCTGTGTTGTCATAAACCGTTGTGATGTCATAAACCATTGTGACGTAACAGTGGTTGAGAGGCACACAATAGACGTAATCTAGTCATTTAGGGTCCTTGTCTACAGGACCGTGTGAAAGACCACCAAAGTTGCGGTCATGGATAGAGCTTAAGTCGTGTTCAGTTTTTCTATAACAATAGCTTGGTTTGAGCACTGATGCTTAATAGGGTGGAACGATTTGTGGAAAGTATCTAATTGCGATTTTTCCGGCTGCTATTTAACCTCTTATTCTCCAGGGTATATTTCGTTTTTTCCATCTGAATTTACACGGCCAAATCCTAAGGCAAATTATTCAGTAGCTGCATGAAATAAATGTAGTGTTGGTCTTTATTTTTTTGTAAAAGCTCCCGTTCAAATTAACAGAAAATGTGTTTTATGATCATGAACATAATGACATACGCTTACAATTTACTGCTGAAAGCCAAAAGGTCTTAGACGCTCTTTGTATTTTTTTATAAAATATTTTTTTTTACAGAGCAGATCACTGAAGAGACGCCATCTGAGATCCAGTTTGTAGCTCAGATTTGTGGAAAAATGGGTCGACTTTCAGTAGAAAAAACAATTCTGAGTTCAGCTTCTTTTATTATAAAGTTTTAAAATTACATCACCCATCTATTTGACTGGAAAGAAGACAGTTACAGCTCTCATACGACCCCCACCTTCTGAATGTAGTTTATGAAATATGAAAGTTATGAAGTAATGAATATGACGAAGTGCGTTTTGGAACCACCAGAGTTAAAAAGGTTAAATTGCAATTTTCTTTTAAATCGAGATTCAGGCCCGACTTTTTTTTTTTTTTGGCCAAGAAAACCAGAACATCCACCTTTTTTGGCTTGAGGCTCGACCCCTGAATGTAGTGTGTTAAACTGCCAGTAAGTTGTGGTTGTGATGTCACAACGCATGGAGGTTTGGTGGCCTCTGATTGGTCTAACTCACCTACAGGCAGTTCACAAACTCTTATTAGGGTCAATTTCCCCTCTTAAAACTTAAAACAACGTTTCTGCTAATGTACACGCTTAATAAAGATGAAGTCAAGGACTGTTTTAAAATATTATATCTCTGTAGTAAAATGCAGTTTTCTCTAAAGTAAATAACTTGTTTTCTACTCTTTAGATTTAGGACATCCTGTTTGTTTGTTTTTTTCATTTGTTTACCCCCATTTGTTTTGCTTCACATGTACAAAACTTTACTAATAAACAAAAATTGATGAAACTCTCAAAGATATACTGTTATAGCTTTATATATAAGGGGAATCATCCCTGAGGTCTTGGGCTCTCATCATTTCCCTGTATTAATAAGAAAGATATCGGTTTTATTAGATCAGATTTATCACATTATGGTATCCAGCCACAGTCATGGAGAAGAGGAGGATAGCTGTTTTGGTTTTTTAATCCACTGTTCCACATACAGGCCTACATACACACTGAAGCTCCTGCAGGCCTGGTAACTAATAGTGGACGTCTGTCTGGCCTCCGAAACCCTTTGTTCTTTGCGTGATGTCTTTTGTATCAGTTTATGCTGATCGGTAACAGACATAAAAGCTTTTCCAGACCAGCGTACCTGGAGCATATAATCTCGTATCACTATCATCCTGGTCTGTTTATGCTGAATATCAGTGAGAATTAAGTAACCTCACGATCAAGACGGAAAAAAGTGTTTTATTTTAAACAAATAAAAGAAATGTTGTTGACGTTTGCCAGTCGTTTCCTTCGTTAGTTTAAATTCCGCTCCATTCAGGCTACCTAGTCTCGAATAAGCTCCCAGGAACCTTTTCTAAACCATGGGCAACTGTGTCATCTTTTTCCACGCCATGGTTTAGAAACCGTTTCCACTTTAATGTTTATGTAGCAATTTTTTATGTAGCACTTTAATATTTATGTAGCAGTTTTTTTTATGAGATGTAGCTCTGTGGGCTCTAGAGCTGCATTAGGAGTTTTCCACAGGAAGGGCGCTTTTGCAGTTTCTTCCCAAACGTGCCAGAAGTTGCTAGAGGAAGGAAACACCATCCATTGTTTTCACAGCTTGTCGCTATTGGCTAATAAGCTGGAAGCGGTCGGGGTTATCTCTATGGTGATTGGTGGTTCCGTATGTGCTCTCTTGGGAGTTCTCACGGAATGGTCAAGAGATCCTGAAAACCTCAGCGTGCTCTTTTCATTCCCCAACATTTTGAAGAGAGAAGCACGTTTATGTGTGATTAATCATCTTTAATGAATTTTTGTAATGGATGGAAAATTCAGCTCCGCTGCGCTGCAGTAATTGCTGCCATGGGAGAGTGAGGCTTTTGTCTCTCATAAAAAGGGACTTCATTATAATTGTAAGAGACTGGAAACTGACTAATTATGCTGTGTGTGAGTGATGTGTGAAAATGACTTAGCTGTGTCTTCTGTCTTTTCGAAAATGATGTTGTTTGAGTTTGTATTTGCGTGGAGACATTTGTGGGCTGTTTTCTTTCTCTAGAAAAAAAGATTTTTAAGGACTTATGTTGAGGAAAAGCTCTGTGGTGGGGGAAAAAAATGACGATGTTGAAGAAACTCCTGAACTTAGTTGCTGATTCTGGGTTCGTCCAGGTTTTGCAGCAGGATTAAATATAAACAAGCTCAACAGCAGCTTGATCAGTTGAGACTGGCCTTGGCATTTTGCTGATTATGGAGCTTTGGCTAAACTCTTTGATGCAGAAGGTGTGTTTTAGTTTTTGTTGTTTGCTTGTAGCTCAGTTGATTTGTCTGTGAAAATAAGCTGGACCTGTCGTGATTTTTGACTGTTTGATTCTGTGCTGTTTTTTGCAGAAGTGGCATTGAAGGTTCACCTGAGTGACGCCAGCACTCACCAGCCCCTCTCCGCTGTCACCGTGGAGATCTTCGCCAACCACACCCCCATCACTAGGGAGATCTCCGGCGTCGACGGCAACGCGTTCGTCAGGTTCCACTACCGCCTGGGCGACCTGCTCGTAATCACGGCGACTAGGCGTGGCTACGTTCCAAACTCCGCCCCATGGCAACAGACCAAGCTGCCTGGTAACGTCTTGTCTCATTGACTTTGATTTTTCTTTTCTTCGTTGTTCTTTAAAGGGGAACTCCACCGATTTTGCAAAATTACTTAATCGTTGAATGGTTTGGATGTAAACAAAATCGTTCAGAGTGGTTTGGTGTGAAATGCACCTTTCAGAGAAATTTACAGTCAAAATTGCTGTTATATTATTCTATATATTAATATACTATTGTAGTACTAGGAACCAGATGTCTGACACTTTCAATGGCTCTAAAGCCTCTGATTACAGTTTATTTTTATGGTTTTCTTACCTATTTTTGGAAGATGTAGAGTGTGTGGAGGACTTCTAGGGGGTCTGTTTCCAAAGTGTCGTACATCCGTATCAATTTGAACCAGAAAACACAAAGGAGTTGCAGTGGTTTAAATGAGAGAGAGAGAGAGAGAGAGAGAGAGAGAGAGAGAGAGAGAGAGAGAGAGACTGAGACTGAACAAACCCAAAGCCATGAGATAGGATATCGAGGTAGATAGCTTTCGTTTTGTTTTGGCTTTTTTATTGGTCTTTTGGCCCACTTTAAACAGTCTCTTCTAAGCCAACAGCTAACAGTGATATATGCACGGTGGCTTACGACGACTAAGTTGAGTTATTTCACTTAAGAACATTTCTTACTTTGATTCCAGTTTCTGCTGGAGTGAAACTGCAGGTGTGTAAATCTGCAGCTCTGCATCAGACCGTTCTTCAACACGCGCAGTGAGGTACATTCAGGACGTTGTAAGGAAAAATAGTACCCTAAGATAACGTATTTTTTTAACTTAGCACTATTTTACCATTATCAGTGTGTCATTAAAGCGTACAAGACACATGTAAGTTCACTGGTCATTTTGGATGGCAGATAAAATGGTGATATATGTGGTGCAGACATAACGACGTCTGGTTCCTAGTGCTACAATGGTGAACAATTCTGACTCAGTAAATTTCTCTAGAAAGGCGCATTTCACACCAAACCACTCTGAATGATTTTTTTACAGCTAAACCATTGAGTGATTACTTACTTTGTTAAAATTGATGGAGTTTCCCTTTAAGATATCATTAGCAGGATAAGCCCTTCTTTACTGTTACAAATATAAAGGCTAACAGACCACCTGCTGCCTCCTCCCGGATTGTCCCTGGAGAGAGTCAGGAAGAGGAAACGGGGGCTGTGGAGGAGGGGAGGCAGAGGGCTGTTAGAGAATAAAATGCTCTGCTGTAGCTAAAGGGATTAGCCTTCTAAACAGGGCCAGCAAGAGTAAAACACGAGTGCATGCGAACGTAAATACAGCAGTCACTCAGCATGATGCCAGGCTTGTTTAGTAATTCGCTGCAGGGGGCATAATGAGATCTTGGTCTGCTGGCTGCCCTGGAGAGCTTCTGCTGTGGGAGACTGTACAGTAGGGCTGCAACTGTTTCTGTAGTAGTTTAACCTGTCGCCAATTTTCTTTAGATGAATCACGTAATCCAACTATTCTGTTCTCGTTGAGGAGAAGAGGTTAAAGAGCTGCTGTGAAATGCCATCACTGCTTTACTTATGCAGCATTGTACCGTGCTATTCTTGCCACCAGCATCATTCAGTGTTTTATTGGTGCAGCAAGCACTTGTCGTTTTATGCTGCTGCTAAATGATAGAAGCTATATTGCCCCCCTGCACTTCCTGAAGTGTATTACAATGTTTTAGATATACATACCCAGATGCCGCATTGTCTGTTGTTCTCTGTCTGAGGCAATATGTCTGCGTGTCCGCCATGTTGGAGAGGTCAAGATCCGCTTGCGAACAAATTCACTTGTATTGAGAAATGATGAGTCCCAGGATTAAATCAGCCACAACTTCCTTATTACTCAACCGATTTTCACCAAATTTGTTTAGTTATAATCCTCAGACACAGATTAACCTAGTCTGCACAGACTGCTCTCGGTAGCTTTTATTTCTTTAATAACTGATGGAGCTATTCAGCCATCTGGACCAGCAGGAAAGTATTCAGTCTGCACCTGACGTTAAAAAAAGAGTTCAGTCAGACACATCAGCAAATCCCTCAATGTGTGAATCACTTCTAATCTTAATACACATAAAAATAAAATAACCCCCCAAAACACAGTAAGAAGAACGAAGCTGAAGTTGGCCTCCAATCCTCCAGCTTCTTGTTTGAGTTTTCCCGTTCACTTTGTGGTGCCTGAAGCTGCACCGTTTAAGGTGGAACAGAAATATTCGAACAAGAAGCTGCCAAATAAGAATCTAACTCTAACTTCAGGTTTGTGTAAGAAGGTGCAAACACTAATCTAGTACAAAGCTTTAACCATCACTGTAAGTAAATAACTACTACATAAAGTTAAGATGCTCTGAATAGACTATTAAATTAAATAAGCTTAATATAAAACCAGAGGAAAAACAATCACATCAACAGGTTCTCTGTGCTTCACCAGCCACACGGCCATATCTACATAAACATCACACAGACATGAGTGTGGATCCCTGCATTCCCTGGATTATATAATCCTGTCCCACTGTCTGAGTACAATATTCTTGAAATAGTCTAATTTTCGTCAGTATCTTTCTTAAACTGCCGCTCTGTAATGGTACTGAATGCAGTCCAGCAGTGATGTTGACTGCCCCAAAATGGTGGTGCCGTTGACGTGCCTGGCTGGACCCAACGCAGCATCTAGGTATGTATATCTATGGGTTTAAGTATCAAAAACATCAACAGTGTTTACATCGCCATTATGCTGTGTTTACATTATGATGGTAGACGGTTGATGGCAGATTGGATGGTCCATGTATTTCAGTGGAGCAGTGGCGGAAAAATTCTGCCACCACCAGCAGCAAAAGCACCACAGCGGTTAGGGGAATGTTCTGTCAGTATTCAATATTTCCAGCTTTTGCCGTCGGCTGCAGCTGTTACATAAATTGGATGTCTATTGGATGTGGACTTCTCATTGTTGAATTCCAGACATTCCCACTAAGGGTGGGCAATGTGGCAAAACTATCATATCACAATACTCAGGCATTTTTATGGTATGTGATACAATCTCAATATTTTGACACACAGATGCAAAGGGCAATAAAAACACTGAATACAGTGATTTTTAGTCAGTATTCTGTATGCTGCATTAAATCCAGTTAAACACGACTTATTGTGTTTTCTTTCTAATGAAACATGCAGTTGGTCAGTGTTCTGACCAACATCCACAATATGCTCAGAAAAACATTGTTTATCATGATAAGAAACTTTATCACAACAACAGTATAATGTCTTACTGCCCACCGTGGTAGCTTTTCCATAGCATGGCATTTTGTTTAATTTAGAATTAAACAGGCTGTTTTTATTACTGTGCCTTACAGACTGATCTCTGTTCTGATTGGCTGCCCTGTGTTGTGGTTAGGGATGGTCGACATGGCAAAAATATCGTATCAGAATATTTAGACAGTTTTACGATACGTATCACATACGTTTATCATATAGAAAGAAACTTAAAATTAGAAAACTGCCCTCAGAGCTACAGTGTACAGTGGTTTTTATTTAGGGTTTCATATCCTGCACTGCACTAAATCCAATTAAACATGACTAATTATTTGTAATGAATCTGCCTTTGAAATTAATCGTTCAGTCAGCCAGTGTTTAACTGTTGATTATATCCACGATACGCTCAGTGAAGTATTATCATGTTGCGCTCTTCTAATTCTAAAGGCATTCTAAAAGCAGTCAAGGCCAAAACACTCTTTATAACTTAACCATGAATAGGTGAGGCTAAACATCTGTGGACTGAACATGGGGCTCTGTGGCTACGTTCACACAGCAGGTAAAAGTGGCCCAAATCAGATTTTCTCACTAAATCCGATTTTTTTTGTTTGGCTACTAACCATATCTTTTTAAATGTGATCTGTATGCAACATCAGTCTGAACAGATCAGCTCCTAAACTGACCTGAATGCACAAAAGAACAGTGCTTCACGTTGCCTCACGCGGCTCATCCAGAGGTAAACTGTCACGACTGCCAACGAACGCCAGTCGCTCCCGGAGGTTCAGCTTCACCTTCGCCAGCATCACAGGAGCCATCATGAAGCTTCACTGACTGACAGCTGGGCTCATCACCCAGAACGTGTTCAAGTTTGCAGTAAAAAAGGCACATTATTTGGCCACGGTCACATTTTTTGGTTCGTGTCCTCGGATTCTTTAAACTTTGCTTTCAGACTTTGAACTGTTCTTTGACGCTGCTGCCTCGTTCTCCTACGGCTGCGTTCGGCCATTTCATTCAGAATCTCTTTGAACACAGAGGGTTTTAGACAAGTCTTGAATACAGAAACATCAGCCCAAATGTTTGAGTCTCAGCAGAGCGAAATTATGACATGCTGAGTTGGATTGACGTAAAAGTCACATGAATTCTGATCTCGCTGTTCAGACTGAGTCACATTGCCTCATATCGGATACGTATCGGATTTCAGTACCACAGATGAAAGCGTCTCATATTGGAATAGAAAATTTCTGATTCAGTGAGTTTTTTGCTGTTTACACTGAGACACAGATAAACATCTGTGTCAATTAAGGAGAAGAAGTTCGGATTTGGGACACTTTTACCTGCTGTGTGAGCAAAGCCTGTGTAATTCATTCGTTTTTGTGACATCAAAAAAGCAGTGAACTTAAAACGGGTTTTTTAATTTCCGTATACAGACAGTAAGGACTGGGGAGTGAACGATATGCTTTGAAACTTGAACGTTTACATACTGCACAAAAAAAGGAAGGAGGAAAATTGGGTTTTCCTTGATGGGGGCCACTTAAGGAAAAGATGTGACAGGAATTGTTTGTGTGTAGTTTGGTTTGCGTGAGAGAGAGAGGAAGCTGGATCTCTACATGTTTGTTTGTGTAAAGTGTCACAACTTACCATGTTCTAAATGTTCGTGTGTGTGTGTGTGTGTGTGTGCGTGCGTGTGTGTGTGTGTGTGTGTGTGTGTGTGTGTACATACTCTAGTCTTCTCGTCTCTCAGCCTGGATCTGCTTCCCGAGAGAGCTGCTACTCTGATGGTGTATGACAACGACATTCAAATCATCTCTGGATACCAAGGTAAAAACAGTGTGTGTGTGTGTGTGTGTGTGTGTGTGTGTGTGTGTGTGCGCTTCATTCAGGGTTCTACATGACTACGTTCACATGACCAGGCTGAAATGCCACAAATCTGTGTTTTTCTGTAATATTTTGCCTGATATTTTCAGTGTGTGGACACGCAAGTCTGATCTTTTCAAATCATATCTGAGCCACTTTCCTATGTGGTCCTAGATTGGATACGTATCCGCTTCATGGCCATGCGACCTTAATGAGAACGCTCAGATCTGAATTCATGTCAAACACACACACATACACACACACACTGCGCATATGCCGTCATTTCCACCCTATTGAGTGAGTGTGTGTGTATGTGTGTGTGTGTTTTGAGTGAACAGTGGCCCAATTTGGCCCTCATCAAAGTCAATCATGTTTACACATCTGTCCATTTCTCCTACATCCAGGATGCAGGCTCAGTGGTATTCGCTTCACCTGAGGGGTCATAATGTTTTGGCTCATCGGTGTGTGTGTGTGTGTGTGTGTGTGTGTGTGTGTGTGTGTGTGTGTGTTTATATGCATATGTAGGAATACACACACATCTCTAAAGGTAGTGACTTAATGAAGCTTTCAGTCAGCAGGGTCAGTATGGGAGTATGGCTATAGCCAACTATTAGCAGGGGACACTGCTTCTGTCCTCTTAAAGGAGACTGTGTGTGTGTGTGTGTGTGTGTGTGGACGTGGCTCTTGCCATTTCATGCTAATTAAAAACTTTTGAACTGTGATACCATGTGTGTGTGTATGTGCAGAGGGATTGATGTGTGTGTGTGTGTGTGTGTGTGTGTGTGTGTGTGTGTGTGTGCGCGCCTCAGGGGAACACTAGTGTTTGGCTCTTGTTCCACTGGCGCCGCCTAACCCCTTTCCTTTAGGACACTCAATCACTGTTCACTCAAAACACACACACACACACACACACACACACACACACACACACACACCCAATAGGGTAGAACTGTAGCCTTGCTATTCTTGCCTTCCACAAGAGGACAGTCATCTTGCAAATGCATGTACACACACACACACACACACACACACACACACACACACCTGCAGCTTCGAGAGGTCTCGTTCCATCTGCTGCAATATTTTGACGCAGTGCAGGACACCACCCCTCCTGTTACACACGCATGTAAACATATGTGCTTGAACACGCGCACACACACACACACGCACACCAACACTTGCCTCCAGTTCAGTTTTGTTTCGAACAGAAGCTGCACACACTGCTGACAGAACTCATGGCCCAATTCTGAGAGATATGGATTTCCGTTGGTATCGTCCGTTAATTTAATTAAAAACTCTCTATAATGTTCTTTCAGGATAGATATAGAACCTCATAGCTCAGTTTATTTATTTATGTGTGTGTTCACACCATTTGGAAACACCATCCATCCTTTTACATAATCGTTTTTTAAGCGTTTTTTATAGTGTATATATAGTATACTATTTTTTATAGTATATATTTTTATAGTATATATATAATTTTTTTCTCAATTATTAAATTAAGACTGCTGTTTCTTCTGTGACTAGGAGCATAGCCAACAACGCAGGCATCTGTTAGCTCTCATAACAGGATTGCAGTTAGCGTTCCCCTACGAGTGTGTTAAGCTGTTCAGTAATGTTGTGTTAATGGCAGTTTGATCGATGGTGTTTTGTGTGTCTCGGCTGAAGCATGTGCTGCGATCACCCTCCCAGCTTCATTGTATTTTGTGATGGGAACTGGGGGCGGAAACTGGTAAAAATGGTCATGATCCGAAAAACAGAATGATTAAAGTTAGCGTTTCGGAGATTGTTTGTTTGTTTCAGAGACTGTTTAAGAAAGCAGCAGTGATTTGATACATGCAGTCATTCTGACAGATGGCAGTTCTCTGCAGGAAGAGTAGGAAGCGTTACTGCACCGTAAAAGAAGAAACCGCTTTTCGCACAAACAGAACTTTGAAAGATGGCGATGGTAAAGGGGACGAGGACCTGAACGAAACATGACTAGTCGTTTAATCAAACAACAATTGATAGGTTAGTCAATTTGGCCTCAATCCCATTTCTTATTTTTACCCCTATCCCTTGTTTTTGTGTGTCACTTTGCCCCTTGGAACTGAGTTACAAGGGTTAGTGGTTGAAATCTTCCCTATGAAATGGGCCCCTCAAATAAAGAGCATTACTTCATTAACAGCTACCAGCGCTGCTCTGTAGGCGACCCTGCCGGTCTGCAGTGACAGCAGAGGAGGGTAAAGTTCAGCTCCTCACTGCCGGGCTTTAGTTACATTTAGGGAATCATGTGCCTTCAAAGAGGGGGCAATTATTTATTATCGCCCACCACTAATTCTTCAGCTTCAGCGTCTCTTTCGAATTTTCCCGTTCCACCTTAAATGGAGCAGCAGTTACATTGGAGCGCTTCAGGCGTCAGAACTGCTGGACTATTTAAGGTGGAACGGGAAAGTTAGCTAACTAGCTACCGAGATATTAGAATACTTTTTGCCTTGTATTATCTTAGTTTAATGTCGTTTCAATGTATTATGATCCTTTTCTTTATAACAAGCATAAAAAATTGCCAGTAGTATGCTGAAGTCTCAATAGCTAGCTAGCTTAATTAGCTAAACAAACGCACCATTTAAGGTGGAACAGGAAAATTCAAACAAGAAGCTAGTTCTCCCGTTCTTTGAAGGCGTATGATGCCCTAAATGTAACTAAAGCCCAGCAGTGAGGAGCTGAACTTTACCCTCCTCTGCTGTCACTGCAGACTGGCAGGGTCGCCTACAGAGCAGCGCTAGTAGCCTGTAAGTCATGTTCTTTTTTATTTGAGGGTCCCATTTTGTAGAGGAAGATTTCAACCACTACCCCTTGTAACTCAGTTCCAAGGGGCAAGGTGACACTCGAAAACAAGGGGTAGGGGTAAAAATAAGAAATGGGATTGGGCCTTAGAGTAATAATCATTAGTGGCAGCCCTACAGGAGAGCAACACTAAGGAAGAGTGGGGCAGTGGGTAATAAACGTTAAAGAGGGAGAGACAAAAGAAAGTGGGGGGTGGAACATAACTAAGGACAAGCACTCCTTGGGGACCTCTCTGACAGACAGCTGGGGGATCCATCAGGGTGGAATCTGTGTGGGTGGGTGTGTTATGTATTTCCTACACTGCAGATTCAGTGGTGGATGGGATGGTGGTGTGTCCATGCATAAATATGTTATGTGTTGGAAAGCACAGAGTGGTCTGCAGGCACTGTGCCAGTCTTTAAGGCACCATCCTTCTAATTCCTTTAGGGATGTATTATCTGTTCATGGGAATCTATTTAAGGCCACCCCAAATAATGTGAAGAGTGTTAGTTTCTGTATTTAATACTCAAAATTGTTGTCTCAGGCCTCAGATATAGCCTGAAATAAATTTGATAAGCAGTTAATATAGGGAAAGTGTTATAATTTTACTTAAATGTTAAAATAAATGAAATGCAGTCAGATTAGTTTTGAGTACGTCATAAATTCCTGCCAGTCACCCACATCACCTCGCTTCTGAGCACAACTGTTCCACACGGCTTTGGAAGCTCAAACAGCAAAGATGCCTCAGAAATCACAAATGGGGGCACTTTAAATTATTGGTTGATCAGTGTTAAATTTGCAGTAAGAGTTTGGTATACCATAGAGACTCAAAAGGCCTGAAGAATTTTCTGAAGTAAGTAAAAATGTTTGCCTATATATTTCCCATTTGCCCAGGAAATGTATATGTTTTTCAAAATATGCATCAAGTCGATATTCTATGTGCATTTGAAATATATGTTAATATAAATCTCTGCTGTTATTGCATAGACTTAATTCATATATGTACTGATATTTCAGTATTTGTGAATATACTGGCCTATATTTAAATATTTAAAAAATTATATTTAGCATAAATAATTTAAAACGTCACATATGAGCAAATATATGTATGTTTTTTCTTCCATAAGGGGTGATCTTTATCCAAGTATCACTGTACATCCAGTTCATGCTGCCTTATATTGCTGTTTTTGGTGGGGATGACTACAAATTAAACAGGTATACAACAGCTTTAAAACAACTTCGCAAATAGCAAATCTGTTAGTTTTGTCCAAATTTCAATCTCAGGTTTTACCGCTGTCAGAGAAGAGTCTCACACTATTAGTACAACTAAGGAGCTGCACTGCAACTACCACAACAACAAGGCCATCACTTTGAAATATAGTTTAGAAAGTTTTATATATATATATATATATGTGTGTGTGTGTGTGTGTGTGTGTGTGTGTGTATATACTATATATGTATGTATATACATGTGTGTGTGTGTGTGTGTGTGTGTGTGTGTGTGTGTATATACGTATATATGTATGTATATACATGTGTGTGTGTGTGTGTGTGTGTGTGTATATACGTATATATGAATGTATATACGTGTGTGTGTGTGTGTGTGTGTGTGTGTGTGTGAGAGAGATAGAGAGAGAGAGAGAGAGAGATAGAGAGAGAGAGAGAGATAGATAGATAGATAGATAGATAGATAGATAGATGTGTGTGTGTGTTGTTTTTGTCCGGATCTCTATGGAGTTTACACTCATATGCGCAGTAATAAAATAAGACTTTTGTTTTGATGAATTTAAGACGTACGTCTATCGCAGCCGGTGTTGACTGAAACACTGATTTAAATGGAAGCTGTTCTGTCTGTTTAGGGGAGATTTCAAGAAATTATGTGCATCCTGTAAAATGCTGTTTGGACCAGGTGATCTTTTAAATAGGTAGTAAAAGTTTAAAGGTGTAGAGATGAGATTTTTGTGCCATGGTACAATTTTGATGCAGAAGTGGGAAATAAATATCATCTTTTATCTGGTCTTGGGTCCCAAAAACATGTAATATACATAATATATTCACCAGTAAGAAGGAGGAGCATAGATTACAATAGACTTTCCATGAAATGAGTACAAATACGAGTACGAGCACGTAGCAGTCTTTTGGTGTTTTTTTAACGGAGGGTGGGTGTGGAGGACGTTTATAGTGGGATGGGAAGTGGGGGGACTATAGCTCGTGTCATGTCTGTGGAATGCAGACTCCCCACAATGGAAACTCGATGACATCACCACTCTCTAGAGAGCCATACAGGACTGCCCGGACTCCATCATGTAGTGACCTACTCAACTGAGAGAGAGAGAAAGAGATCTAGAGGGAGAGGAGGATGGAGAGAAAGAGTTGGAGGAAAAGATTAAGTTAAAATAAAATTATTTGGCAACAAAAACTAATTTATGGTTTTTCCTGTACCCCAAACGTAGCTCAGAAGGAAAGACGTTTTGTGGCCAAAGGTTGCTTCTGTAGTTTTGCACTGAAGCTATGTGGCTGATGTGGGTAAGAAGCAGTGGAAGTTGATACCCACAAATGAGCAAACTGCATGCCTAAATCATCACACGCTCGCCCCGAATTGCATCACGTTTGTAAGTAATCATACATGCAAACTTGTTGCCTTTGACTGAAATGGGCCTTTTTTTTATTGGTGAACATGCCTTTCATGTGAAGTGTGCAGGTTTGAGGAGTTAAAAACAAAAAGGAGTTTATAGGCAACAGAGAATTCTGGAAGGGGGCATCCGAACTCCCACCCAAACATATCACTGCAGCGGTTCACAGTCGTTATTGAGCCTACCTGCTGATATAGTATTTCATTTTTACAGGCCAAACAGATCTGAGATAACGTGACCGAAATGTGCACAGAATTATTGCAGTTTTTTTCAGTAGCTTTCAGAGAGTGTGTGAAAAAAAGGTTTACATGTATAAAATATTATTTTTGCAACCAAGACAGTCAGATTTCATTTACTTTTTGTCAGAATTTGATGCAGAACATGTTGATCGTTTTATGTGCAAAATGTGCAAAGAATTATTGCAGTTTCTTTCTTCAGTAGCTTTCAAAGAGTGGGTGCTGAAAAGGTTTGTGTGTATAATAATAATTGAATAAAAATAAAAAATAATATAATAAAATAATAATAATAAATATATTACTAATAAAAATAATGATAAATTATTATTTTTGCAACCAAGACAGTCAGCTTTCATTTACTATTTGTCTGAATTTGATGCGGAACCTGTTGATTTCTGTAAACTGTTTTAACCGCTATGAGGGCTTAGCGGCTACAAATACAACACAAATGGCAATCATCGGGGCCCAAGCACCCTTATGAAAACTAAGGACACAAATGATGATCATAGTAGATGTGGGGTCTCAAAAGAAGATGTAAGCCAATTTTTGTATTGGTGTTTTGACCTTGTTATGGGAAGTACAGATTTTTAATACCTAAAAGAAAAAAAGCCTGCACCTTTTGGACATGACTTGAATTTGCATAGTTAGATAGTAAAGTGCCCCAGAATTTTCATGTTCAAATGGCTGAAATTTTCTCATAGCAATGATGCTGTTGGATCTCTCTACAGGGGGCATGGTTTCTGAACGTCTCACCTTTTTTTTTACTGCTCATGTCTTTTCATGTTTGGTAATGTAAATTAAGCCATCTGATGTGGTTCCTGATATTGTATGACATACTGTTATCTATGTAAATGCTGTTTCTTTTTGCTGATTGATGGGGAATAAGCTCCCATTCCTTGTCAGCTACATTATCCTCATGGCTCCAGTGCAAAACTAAAGAAGCAAACATCTGACACCAAATATGTCTTGGCTGATTGACTACACTTAGAATTTGTTCCTATAAGGAATAAAGACAAATAGAAACAGAGTCTGATAGGAAAGGTTATGAGAGAACGAGCTTATTTTTAATTTGAATTTGCAGACTAAATTAGATGTTGGCCGTTTGACTGTATATTGTAACCAATTGTGTGTATGTGTTTAGGATCAAAGCTCCAGCCGTGGGTTCACTTCCAGAGAAGAGCACTGAGTCTTCCTCCAAATGCCACCTACACCAACCTGACCGCCTTTCTGACTGTCACTCACTCAGGACAAGACGCACAGCACTTCCCCTACCTGCAGGGTCTCCGCTCCAACAGCACAGGTAACAAATGTCTACTTTTATGTATGAAAACACACACACACACACACACACACACACATATATATATATATATATATACATATCTTCTTCAGCCTTCTCCACAATCTGCTGTCTCACAAGTTCTCTCATGGACCTGGGCCTGCATTAAATGCACTGCGTGATGCACAGGAGTCACACAATGTCACTTTCATGATTTTAAAAGTGAAATGTTGGTCCAGCTAAAACAAGCGAATAATATTCATAATAATAATAATAATAATAATAAAAATGTTTATTTATATAGCACCTTTCATACCTTATAAATGCAGCTCAAAGTGCTTCACAATACAAAGTAAAAACAACAGGAAGAAGAGAGAGACAAAAGGATAATCAAGAATAAAAACAAAATATAATAAATAGCAGAAAATGGATATATTAATAAATACAATTAAAAAAGCACAGGATAAAAAGTATAAATAAAAAAGAAAAAAGACAAAAAATGCAATTAACATTATAATATTCCAGTAAAAACAAAGGAAACAATAAAAAAACTAGTTAAACGCTGAAGTAAAGAAATACGTTTTTAACTGTTTTTTGAAAACATTAACAGAAGGATCCTGACGGATGTGTATTGGTAACGCGTTCCAGATCTTGGTGCATAAAAACAAAACGCTGCCTCTCCGCTCTTTTTAATTTTCATACGTAGTATATGGAGCAGAGTCGCACTAGATGATCAACAACAATTTTGTGGTAATGATGGCAGAGAGTTTAAACCCCGACTCAGCCACAGAGAGTGATTTGCACTCCGAGCAATCTAAAAAGGCCCTGTTTGGAAATACTTCAGAGCAGTACTTAAAGGCCACTAGACGGCAAAATTATGGGACCTCGAGATAAAGTTGTATGCAAGCTATGCAAGCTACAGTTAGCCTACCATTACAGCACTAGAAACGTGAGGGCACATCTTAAAAAAATATGGGTGAAAACGCTTCAATTTAACAATCCAGTTGACGCGAAAGCAACGATTTACACAGCACAGTCGTCATGTCAGCTGCGTGGAGTTAGTAACACAGCTAACTTGATATCAGGTATAGTAGCCTAGAGTTTGTTTTGAGTGCCGTAAGATGCCATGTCTACCGTACTGTGTTTTCACTGTACATTTTATACTGGAAGTGCTATTATTGATGTTAGGTTATATAAGTTATGGTCTACATTGCAACTTGTTTTTGCTATGTCATTGAGATATAGGCTACATTGAGGGCTGAAATGTTTGCAATTTAAATTTCATTTTCAATGTTTGAACTTTGCTGACCAATCAAAAATACTGCTAAAAGTTCTGTGTGTGGAAACAGCTTACATAAAAAGAAACAGCAGTATTGCATAACTGAGTCATATCGTGTTCTTCCTCTAGAGGGGCAGACTATTTGTATACCAGTTTGAACGTGATGTTATATAGATGGCTAGGTTAATCAAAGTGCATCCAGACTAATGTATTATTAACAGCTTAGCTGTCTAAAGCCAGGCATACACTGCGATTTTAGAAATTTTGTAACTTTGGTGACTTGCACTGTACGTTTGAATCGTCCATCGTGTTCGGCCAAAGCCTGCGATTTATATACTCACTGTATGAAAACACTCAGTCCGACTGACATGACGCGACATGGGTGCTCACACTGCACGTGAAACGCAGCCCCTACAGACGCTCAGTCTACAATAAAGCTGATTCATTCAGAACAACACGCTGCGCCTCCGAGTCCCGATCAAAACACTGGCTGACTCTCAGACGGCTCCCTGCTCCCTACATAGTGCACCACATCTTAAAATAGTGGCTCCTGCACCCATAAAGTGCATCACATGTCTGATAAATAGCCTTCTGAGGTTCAGCCATGTGTGCACAGTTCCATACTGGACAAACAGTGCACTGTTTTGGTGTAGAAGGCAGATTCAGCCATTGATAAACTGCTACAGCAGATTTGCTAACTGGTGCCACACTGTGCACTGAAGCTGAAGAGCAGGCCGTCTACAGACAGACAGCTCTACACAGACAAAAAACACTATTTATTTATACCTCGCAGTTCAACTCAGCCAAACGGAGCAAAGTCAGCATATACAGATGCTGGTGCCACAATTGTTGTGAAATCGGTTCGTGAGGCTGCTCACATCGTGAGACAAGCGACCAAAAGCAAAAATGCTTTCATGAAGGCGGTATCAAGTAGGGTTGTTCACTGTCAAAAGTACCCTGTGGCTGAATATCAGCTTTCCCAACCAGGCAAGTGATTTTCAATACTGTCCAAAAATAATATTTTACCTGCCCTGGGCATTCGGGCCATCATTAAAGTTTGTTTCAGCCAGTAAAACATTATATAACATTAGAATAAAGGCAAATTAGTGCCCCCAGTCATCACCAGCACCTTTACTTTAAAGAAGCATTGATTAGCCAAGCTATATTTTGGATGATGACTACCATGAAGACTTGAATATAATTTTCTCAAATTGCCCAAAACTTTGGCACAGTACCGGTTGTACCGTTAGCACAGGGCGGTCGTGGGCTGGAGGTTAGGGAACCAGCCTTGTGACCGGAAGGTCGCTGGTTCAATCCCCTCAGCTGACAGTATGTGACTGAAGTGCCCTTGAGCAAGGCACCTAACCCCCAACTGCTCCCCCGGGCGCCGTGGATAGGGCTGCCCACCACTCCGAGCACTTGTGCTCACTGCCCCCTAGTGTGTGTGTGTGTTCACTAGTGTGTGTGTGGTGTTTCACTGCACGGATGGGTTAAATGCGGAGGTCTAATTCTGATGTGTTCAGACACAGTTGGCTAAAAAGGTTCATTTCATTTTCATTTTCATTCAAACATAAGCTCGGATTTGACTTGTGCTGTTATTGGACACCACAGCAACTCCAAAAAAAGGGAAATCTTCTTAGAACTGTACATGTTTTAAACCTCAGCAGTTTTGTAAACAGTGTTCATGCCCTCCATCTGCCCTGTACAAACAGGTTCTTCACTGTAGTAGTGCAAAATGTAAGCAGTAAATCAGTCTGGGCCATTTGGTTAGCCTGGTAGATTTGAAGTGTTCTTCTTTTAGGGGTCAGTTTGTCCTTAAAATTTATGAAAAAATCAAACAAACGTAGAAGCTTGAACACCACAAGTGAAAGAGGGGCAATCCTGGGTTTGTTTTTTGAATAAGAGATTTCTCAAAGAGAGATTTCAAGCTAAGGAATCAATAGAGATGTATTGTAATGTGCAGCCATTTTAATGGTCTGGAGTCGTGTTCATTGCTAAGAACAGCCTTTATTTTCCTGACTGGTCATCGATAAGACAAGCATGTTCATTGTAGATAACGCTCATCAGTGTTTGTAGTGGTCTCTGCCGGAGTTACAGAAACTCATACATTTTTAAATGTTAGCAGGTGTGGCACATTTAGTGATGGAGATGCATTGACCCTCTTAACAGTAGTATTTTTCTTGGTGGATTTGCTTCGCCATTTAGATTTATAATTTAGATCGTGCCATTATCTAAATCAATACACCATGAGAAGGAGAGACGGGCCATGGGATCGTGTTAAACTATAAACGGCTGTGTTTCCTTGTCATTTGTTATTTAGTTGAAGTATGTTGTGTGAATATGTCTTATAGCCTGATTAATCTCTTACTTGACCCCTTTTTGCCTCTCCTCCCCCTTTTTTGTCCCTCCCCCTTCTTTCCTACCCCTTTGTTTCTCTCTCTCTCTCTCTCTCTCTCTCTCTCTCTCTCTCTCTCTCTCAGGCAGTGATCATAGGTTTGAGCTGACCCCTGTAGCTGCTATTAGTGTCCATCTTCTGGGAAGTGATGGGGTGGAACTTCATGTCAATGAGCCAATCAGTGTGAGCATTCCCCTGCCTGCCAATAGCGGGCTAAAGGAGAATGACCACATACCCGCCTGGAGGTTCGATCCCAAACTCGGTAAGATTATGCATACATACATACATAAATATTATTTTATAATTTTATTTTATATTTTATAATTTTATTTATTTTATAAATATAATATATATATATATATTTTTTTTTCAGCTTATGTTAGTTGCTAGTAATGTTAGAATTCACCTTTAATAAATTAGAAAAAATAATTTTTGCCATGTTTTTGGGGGAGTTTGTTTTGTTTTTTTGTTTTTTTTTGTACCTGTATGCAAAAAAGTTCCCCATATATTTCAGTTACCAAAAATAAATAATAAAAAATATTAATAGCTGTACCCTTTCAAAAAAATAAATAAAGCTAAAAAAAAGCACTTTACGAACTCAGGACCATTTTGCTGGTGTTCATAATGTAGGTTAGGCTTGTTTTTTGTTTTTCTGTGTGTTTTTGTTTGTTTGTTTGTTTTTTTATAAATCAGGACTGAAAATATATAAAACACACACTCAAACAAGCAGTCGTGACAACATGGCGGGAGTATTATTGTGGTTTGCTACCATACGGAGGTTTTTCCGAGTCGGGGGCAGGTTTCCTGTATTTGTGTGTGTGTGGTTGTGTGTATGTGAAAGGGGGAAACGGAGAGAGCGCAGAAGCACTTCAGTGGTCTCCAGATTTCCTGCTCGCCTTGATCTCCTAATCAGACGGATATGCTGAATCGGTTTAGGTTGGAGCGAGTGGGAGCACCAGTGGAATGTTTTCAGAGCGTTTGGTTGAGGAGTTGCGGTGATGTTCTGACTGAGGAACCAGGAGGTCAGTCAGGTCACGAGGGAACGTTCTAAACGTCATTTACATGGAGCTTTGGAGCTGAGATGTGTGTGTGTGTCTCTCTCTCTTCTCGCTTCTTTCCCTTTCTTTCTGTCTCTCTCTTTTTCAGTCTGTTTTTCTTTCTCACATCTCTCTCTTTGGGGTTCTCCCTCTGTTCCTCTTCCACTCAATCCTTTCTCATATTCTTGTGCTCTTATCTGTCTCTCTCTCTCTCTCTCTCTCTCTCTCTCTCTCTCTCCCCCTCTCTCTCTCTCTCTCTCTCTCTCTCTCTCTCTCTCTCTCTCTCTCTGTCATACTCTTGATCTCATCTATATTTAAGGCAGTGATAAAGTGGACAGAACACTAGTAAAGAACATTGCTAGGAATGCTGGATTTTGTTTTTGTCTTTTATACAGGTTGTAATTTCATATTACTTCTCAGGAGGAGGTACTTTATTGTAGAAGATACTTAATTTACTTGAGTTTGATGAAAAGTTATTGTTGAGCAGGTGTTTTTGTTTTTTGTGCAGACCTCTAGGCTAAAAATATAAACAAAAATGCAGACTTACTTTGCTCTGCTTTAAGCTTTAGCTCAGCTGTAGCCACTTTTCTCGCATCTCTGGCAGGAAACTTTTCCGCAAAAGTAGAGTTTCTGGTAAAATGCAGATTAAACGTGTCTGGAAACCAGCTGAGAGCTTCTAAACGCAAATAAGTCCCTTTGTCTCCAAATCATCGATGTTCATCTTAAATCTTTCTCTTTGCTGTTTCTTTAGCTACTAGCTAGGTGAGATTCTTGTCCACAATGCTGTGGTGACCAGCAGTCTGTGTGCCAACCTTCAGGGTTAAAGGGTGAATTAGCAGTTCTACATTAACTCCAGAGTTTAAGACCATTTATTGTTAAACTGTGTTGAACGATCAGCAGAGCTTTATTTTACTGTAAAGGAGGATTATTTTATTTCTAATTATGCAGTGGAGCCGCAACAGGGCAGTAAAAGAGCTGCTTGTTGCCGACCTCTGGCCTAGACAATGTGAGGTGATCAAGGGACTGCAGAATTGTCCAGACTGTGGTCTTCTCTGTGGTCTTATAGATATGAAAGCTGGACGATAAACAAGCGAGACAGAAAAAAACATGGATGCCTTTGAACTTTGGTTTGGTTGAAGACTTTGAGAGTTCCTTGGACTGCAAGCCCAGATAACCAAACTGAAGCTTTCTTATTTTGAACATAGCCTAAGAAGAACCAGTTCTTTGGAATAGACCATCATGCTTGGAACAGTCCAAGGTAAAAGAGGAAGAGGACGACCAGCCTCAAGATGGATGGATACAGTCAGAGAAATCATGAACCAGCCATTCAGAAGTTTGAAGACCCAAACAGAAGATTGTCCTTCTGGAGGAACACTATCCCTACGCTCGCCAGAAGTCTGGACCGACTTGACTGCACTTAATCAATAATAAATCTGTTGAAAGGATTTTTTCTAGGAAACTGAAAGTGGTACTTTAAGAGTGTAATACAGGGTGTCCCAAAAACTGACATCATTTGAGATGTGAATATCTGAGTAACTACATGTCCGAGGCAAACAAAATTAAATAGGCTTCATGTTAAACAATACAAGATTTATTTATCAAAATTCGAACAGGAAATTCAGAGGGATGTAGGTTTTATAACCGATTTCACAGCTTCACAAATGTAATATCTTCCGTTACGGCTGGTCGTCCAGATCCCTTCGTCCTGCACAGACAGCCTTCCTCTTAGAATTTTTTGTGCCATGTCCAAATCTGCTTTCCAGTTGGTGCATTTTTATTGAATTTTCTCAAACATGCACGCTGAACATATTCTAACACAAAATGCCTTTTCATTTCTAGTGAACGCCATTCTTCAACCTGAAAAAAAAACATTAAAAATTAAACTTGGTAGTTTTTACACGTTTTGTTAAAATTTAAGATCATTTTAGGGAGAATTGGCTGTTATTAGACAACGAAATGATGTCAGTTTTTTTGGGACACCCTGTATAAATCAAATTGAATCAGAACAATAACAGCTGCAGACTTGTAAGGGTTAAGTTAGAGGTGATCTTTTGACCTTGTATGTTAAAAGCTGAGATCTTTAGTGTCTCAGCAGGCCCATCTTGTTCAAAAGAAATTAAGAAATAAAATTAATTATAATGCTCAATAATCAAAGTACAGAGACACAGAAACACTGCACCTAATCGTATCCAAGTCACAAGGGGTTTCATGTTTAATCCATGGCAGATTTGACTCAAATCTGGGTCTGACCTGCCTGGTACAGAAAGACTGAACCTTGTATTTACTTTTGATTCTTCAGAAGGTGCATTTTAATGTAATATGGCAATATATGATTATGGTTTGAAGATAAGGTCAGTACCATTACTGCAGTTTGAGCAGACAAAGGCCATTTGTGGTTATTTTTATGAGAAAGCCATTGTATATCGCTGTGTCGAAATGTATAGTGGGCTGTGTACAGAAGCTTGTTTAACGTTTGAGCTGTCAGAGTTTGACAGCCTTCGCTCCGGCCCGTCTGACCACATTCACAGTCCAACGAAAAGCCGAAGACATTTGGCCATCCTGTCTTTTCACAGCGGTTGAGCAGCGGTCTCTGGGTTATAGCCCCAAGCCTCAGGCCACACGTCTTTATTCCTCTGTTTTGTTTCACCCTCCCTTTTGCATTTCCCCCTCTTTTTTTTCTTGCCCGCTTTTCTTTTGCTGGCATTTCTGAGCCGCTGGTGGAAACTGATCAACAGCGTGAGGGATTTTAGGCCGTAATTTCATTCTCTTGGGACCGTGTGACCAGCACAGGGCTATTTCAGTTCGAGCCGTTCATGAAGATAAGAGGTTCGTTTAGTAACAACAGAGCTACTCTGTGAAGAAGAGCCCTCTAATCTGACCCTTTCCTCCTGCTGGAAGTTCAGATAGATAGCAAAAGAAAATCAAGTTAGATTAAGAATATTTGGAAGAGCCGCTGTTGGAAGTTTACGGTCAACAAATATTTCAGTTTATTTTAGAATTTAGTTTTATTTACTTAAGGCTTGAGAATTGGCTGATACTACCAGCTAACCAGTTTATTTATTTATTTATTTATTTATTTATTTATTTTTATGGTTTTATATTATGTCGGTTGGGCCTGCTTTCATATAAGACTGTTAATTATCTCTTAGGTGTCAGTATCGGCTCATATTAGTTTAGCCTTCGTTTATAAGACTTGTGTTAATTAGATTTTGTTTTGTTTATTTTTCATTGTTTTTTTTGTTGTGTGTCAGTTTAGGTCAATGTCAACAGCTAATCAGTATGTTGGTCCTGACTTCATTTACAACAGACATCAACACAGAGGGGCTTTCCAGAAATTACAAAGTTACAAAATGTAATATTTTCATTTTTTTTGTTTTGGTGGCAGTCGTGGGCTGGAGGTTAGGGGACCAGCCTTGTGACCGGAAGGTCGCCGGTTTGGTCCCCTGACCTGAGCAAGGCACCTAACCCCCAACTGCCCCCCGGGCGCCGTGGATAGGGCTGCCCACCGCTCCGTGTAAGTGTGCCCACTGCCCCCTAATGTGTGTGTTTACTAGTGTGTATGTGGTGTTTCACTGCACGGATGGATTAAAATGGGGAGGTGAAATTTCCCTGTTGTGGGATTAATAAGAGAACTTAACTTTACCAGCATTCAAAGCTCCTTGGGTGGTCTAAGTCTAAAACCTGTGGCCCACCTTCAGTATAGAGTTCAAGTGAACAGTCACGTTTCAGTGAGAGCGTAACGCCAAATACAGATTCGCAACACTGTCTGGTTGACTTAAGGGAAAAAATACCTCACTGAGTGACTTCATTGTTCTGTTTCAACTTGACTGAAATTTCTTGCACAACTTGAAAGTCACAAGTTCAATATCCAAACAACTTTGATGAACTAGAGCCATGAAGGGTTGCGAAAGCCTCATCTGCAGACTGTCCAAAAATGACACATATTTACCCACAAAAACCAACAGTTAGAGGTTTTATTGTGACAGAATTGCCCTTTACTACAACTGCGTTGTGAAGGTGTTCAGTATTGAGGAGTGATTTGCTTCATATGCAAATTCACCCTTTAGATCTTATGCTATCTTTATATGAGGACAATTCTAATATATTCAACGGTTGAACCATGGTATTTGCATTTTATTGTATATTTTGCATAGTCAAATTATTGAGCTACATGTAAGTGTCTGTGCGAATGTAATGCGTATGTGAGGAGTCTTTTTTGAGTAAA